GATGGAACAAAACTTAAAACCAAGAATTTACAATAAAGAATTTTTGTTATTGAAGCTGCTTGACTTCTTCATGTAATGACTCATCCTTTTCTCAGTCAGTTACTTCATTGATTATCATAATTTTGTATCACTTCATTAGCACATCATCATATCATATTAACATATCATACCGGGCTCATTATCTCACTGACTGACTGGCCAGTCCATCGTCCAGCCCTTTGGCTGGCTGTGTGACTGGTTTGCTGATTGTTTGATTGTCCAGTGGGTTGTGGTGAAACAGTCATGGCTGTCCTCCAGCTGTCCGTTTGTGGATATTCTAAATATTATAGTCTCGATAATCCTTGAATTGTGAAACAAATCACAGTATAGAGACAATAAAACTGTAGGTCACAGTGTAGATTTAGTAGTTACGTGCACTCTTAAAAAATTAATGGCTGCTTGGACCTATTCACTGAAAGAGGGTCAACAACTGTTGTTTATCAAGTGCTATATAAATGGATTTCGATGATGATAATCTTCTATCTCAGTCTACAGTGAGGCACAAAGCAAGCTGGAAGATGGTGTAATGAACTGGGTCTGCAAACCACAGGCAGCTTACCAAGACGTTTCACTTTCCATAACTAAAAGGACTAAATTTCCCCGTTATACTGAAATGGAAATCAATATCATGTTTGGCAATCTGTCTGACACTTATCAAACTAGGTCAAAGACAGCTGCAGTGTGTTGCATCAGATTTGATCTTTATCTTTTCCTCAGCATGAGAGCACACTTCTGATTAGAGCAGCAGTCTTTTCTCAGGCTGTCCTTGACATCCTGGCCACCAAACTGCAGCTCTACCAAAGAGGCCCTTAGTGCCCAGCTACATTCTCTCTCTGGGAGATCCACATTGCTTTACATCTGGAGATGAACGCTCATGTTACAGGCAGCCAGAGATGTGTGTGTGGTGTGAAGCCTCTCCTTACAAATATGGTGTGATGGTGGAGCAACATAGAGTAACAGCTTCTTAGAATATTTATGTTAGGTAATATGTAGAAAGAGAAATATGACTAAAACTCCTGCATGTTGGACACTTAAAGCCTGCATGTGAATTGGCAGCTGTGGCATAGAATTTCATTATCTTGAAAGCAGAGGGAACATAACAGGTTAATCAAGTTTATGAAGAGTAAACTGCAGTTGAAAATGAACTTGGAAAAAGTTCAGTAACAATGAGCCTCCAGGAAACATTAGGAGGCAAAAACTGTCAGACAATCTCAAGCTAAATAAGCCATGGTTCCATTTATTCACCTACTGTCCAAAGGAAATGTTTGTTTTGGCACAGTTAAATTCCTCCTACACAACTGATTTACTCTGGAACAAAGCCAAGACAAACATATCTTTCAATTATGACATGTGCAGACTGGTGAAGATCCCCCCCAAGTCTTTATTTTCTTTATTTATCTGTAAAACTAACAATCCAGTTAAACATAATATAGGTGGCTAGAAAGAACTGTGTTAGTGAGATTGACAGTCCCACATCGGACCTGTATAAGGGTATCTCACCCCCAAAAAAAAAAAAAGTAAAAATGTATTCAGTTGATAAGCAAACAAAAACTGTTATGTCTGCTCGGACACAGAGGTGAGCGAGTAAAAAATGACGGACCCAGGTAGCTGACTTCAGTGCAAGTAGTGCTCAATTTATTTACAGTGATATCAAACAAGTAAGTGTATAAAGATGGAGGGTGTAGAAGCAGGACCGGGTGTTGAGCAGCAGGTATGGAAAAACACAGTCAGTGGTGCGGTGATTGTGGGATGGCCGGGCTGCAGACGCTGGGGTTCACTCCTGGACTGGTCGGGGATGATGGTTGCTGAGGAGACAGAGTTAGTGAGGCAGTTAAGAGAAGACTGTGCATCGACCTGCGTGGTGGAGATGGAACTGAGCAGAGGAGGTCCATGGTCCAGAGAAGCGAGTTGAGGAGGAGGAGGAAAAGAAGTTGGAAATAGAGCTCGGGCGAAAGGACGTGAGTAGAAGGTAAACTGTAGCATATACAAACAATCAAACAACGGGAACGTACGGGCCTGAGAATACTAGAAAGATCTGGCAGGGGAGTGGACGGTGCACAGGGTCTAAATAGGGAGAAACTAATCAGGTGCAGCTGGTGGTGATCTGGGGATGTCAAGCAGGTGTGTCAGATGGTGTAATCAGGGTGAAGGAGCTAAAACAGAGTGAAGGCCGTGAGAAAGGCAGGTGTGGCCGGGCAAACCTGACAAAAACTAATCAGATGATTACAACAGAAATGACGGTGGCCACAGAATTCCAGTAGTTTGCTTCATCAGATAAATCTAAATGTAAAGGGGGAGCTACTAGACTGCTGAAGCAGGCAGGAAGCTCCCACAGCTGTGTTACAACAAGGCTTGTTCCTGGAAACACACCCAGGCACTGTAAACTGAAACCACTGGATTAGATAGAGCTGAGATACATTTACATCTATAGTAAGTTAAAATGGCCTCTGTGTTTCTTTTTTACCATGATACATCTTTGTTTCTTATGCAAATTGCCTGTGATGACATCACTACTATGATGTAAATTTCATTTGACAATACCTAAACGTTTTAGAAAACATTAAAAAAGTAAAGTGAAGACATTTGAGTTGATGGTGAACAAAACACTAAAGACAGCTAAAAGACGTGTTAATTGGTTGAATCTATATGTATATGTCACAGTGACTATGAATCTGCAGCTACATCTTTGCACACAACCCATGTGTGTTGCTTCTCATTCCTTTTGTGTCCTTCAGATACAAGGAAAAACAATGTGAAGCTCAGTTTCCTGTCTCTGAAAACCTTGCCTGCTATCCTCTTAAAGTTCAACTTCTGGGCTGCTTGCAAATACAACATTGTGGGTTTGTGGCCTCTTTTAAAGTGCTATAAAAACAATGGTTTAAAAAATGCTAGGAGGTCTGGGAACCTGTTCAACCAGGAAGCCGCTGTTTCTTTTGCATAAAACATTAGAAAAAAGCACTAAATTCTAGATTATTTTGTGTCTGTTTTTGTGTATGATAAAGAAACTCAGAGTATCATGGGGTCCCCCAGCAGTCTAGGCCTATAGCAGCATAACTAAGGGAAGGCTCAGGGTCACCTGATCCAGCCCTAACTATAAGCTTTATCAAAAAGGAATGTCTTAAGTCTAATCTTAAAGGTAGAGAGGGTGAATGTGATTGGTTGTCTGTCTCTGTGTGTCGGCTCTGTGATAGACTGGTGACTCCAACTCCTGCTCAGTGTCAGCTGGGAGTGGCTGCAGCGCTCTCCTAAACCCTCAAGAAGGATAAACAGGTACAGATAATGGATGGATGGATATGATGATACTATGAAAATATTCCATAGACCTGTGACCAACTAGCAACCAACAGCAACTAACAGTAATTTGTCAACCTGACCTTATGACAGGCCAACCAGCACTGAGGACCAGTCCCCCAGCAAATCATTGGTTTAACAAGTTTCCAAGAAAACATGTAAATAACTGATCCATCCCGTAGACACGAGACGGACTAAATATGAGAGGGAGAGGGAGACAGGGATCAAATCAGGACCATATGAATGACATTCCAGCAAGTCTCAATTCTGGGTGTGTTGCTTTTTTGTTGCTGGTGGTTTGGGAAGTCTGGGAAGCTCTTCTGGTGTAGGTCTCCTGTTGACATTGTCTTAGAGTGACCCCTTTGTCTGAGTCATCCCTCTGTTGTCACTGCATTATAAAGCCAACTCTGTGACTGACTGACTGAAGGCCACATTTAGATGATGATAATATTCCTAAATCATCTTAAGAACACAGGTTCTATTGTCTTTGCACTGATCAGATTGAGGGCTCTGAGTTGCAGGTGTCCTCATGAGGATTAGTGCATTAGTCAGTGTTACTAATGACTCTGTCCAGGTGTCACCACATCTTAATGGAAGCTACCTGATCCACCTGAGACATGTTATCCAGGTATTACACTGGGGATTTCTGATGTATGACTGGGATTTAGAAGGGGATTCCCTGTGTGTGTGTGTGTGTGTGTGTGTGTGTGTGTGTGTGCATGAAGTACTGTGCACATATTTGAGTGCAGTTATATTGATGCTGCCTCTGTGTGTGTCCGCTTATTGCTTGCATTGCCTGTGGCTATTAACATAGGTTCAACCACAGGCTTTCCTGTTTTTGACTTTATTAACATTCCCTCTTCCTCCGAGTATAATTTGAAGTCTCACAATTAAGTCTGTGGGCTAACCAGTGATCAGAACCATAAATACTGCAGGGCTTTAGTCAAACTATTTGGAATGTGTAGGAACACAATACACTGCCTTAGATAAAACACAAAGTCAGAAAATTTAAAATCAGGGGCAGGTTTAGAAACTTGGGGCATGGGTGCAGACTGGGGCACAGTTTTCAACAAGATGGGCACATCTGGGGAATCAGTAAAAGATGAGAGAGAGACACAGATGACTGGTGTGGTGGTTAGCTCTGTCGTCTTATGGCAAGAATGTTCTAGGTTTGAGCTCTGGCCGACCCGGGACCTTTCTGTGTGGAGTCTGTTCTCCCTGTGCCTGCGTGGGTTCTCTCCGGGTGCTCCGGCTTCTTCCCACAGTCCAAAGCCATGCAGCTTGACTGGTGACTCTGAATTGCCCCTAGGAGTGAATGTGAGTGTGTTTGTTTGTCTACATGTCAGCCCTGCCATAGACTGGCGACCTGTCCAGGGTGGATCCTGTCTCTCACCCGATGTCAGCTGAAATTGACTCTAGCCTGTTTTGTATCTGCTCACACTGCTGTGAGTAGTATAAGATGGACTGTGGCGCACGTTTCTTTAGAAATAAAGAAATAAACACCCCGAATATACAGTGTTTTCTTGTATTTTTGTCTGTCTGTAATTTTCACAAACATGCTTCATCAGGGATAGAGCAATATAGTCCATGGATTTAATTCCAGTTTTGTGTTTTCACAAGCAGTTTTATTACTTATTCTTTTTTGTGTTGCCGTTAATAATAAGGGTATTGTTTGTTACTGTGAATTTTCTTCAAATAATCCCAGGCCTTTCTCAGATCAGAGTTCAGACTGAGGCATGTCTGGTCAGCTGTCAGCTCGGTTCTGGTGAGACTCAGCTGGCTTGCAGGTGACTGCTGGGTTTTTCTTAACATTATGATGAGTTTGTTTATGATAAGCAATATAATGACATGGCTTTTCTTGTGCTTAGGGTTGATATCCGTTTTTCTAATAGTGGCTCAGATGGAGACCCTTCCTAACAGCCACAAACACAGTTACAAACACTCACAGTTGGAAGATTCCCAGTATAACCACAGTCTGATCTGGTGGCCACTGAGCAGCTCCACTGGGGCAGATGGAGGTTAGGTTTCTTGCTCAGGGGCACCTTGGCTGTGGTAATAGGCCTCTTCCAGTCCACAAAAGTCCAACTAAAAAGTAAGTGTGCTCAGATGTGATTATGCCTGTGATAGGCTCTGGGCTTGGCCTGTCTGTTCGCTGCGTTCCACCGTCATCCAAAGCAACAGATTCACCACTGCACTATGTCAAATTGTTAAGTCAAGCTTCAGCAAAAGTACTGTATATTATTCACTTCATTTATACTTTGGCACATCTTTCAAATAACACAAATGTCTCTCGATAACAGTGTAGCACAACAGCAAACTATCAACACATCAAACAAACCAGATGCATTGCTAGAATAATAAGCATTGACTTACTGAGGCTGACAGGTCAGCACGTGTTTTCACAAGTCTACATATCCACTTTGGCCCAATAGGTACAGCGTATCTGTCCTGGTCAGTGCTGTATGGGCCTCTGTTCTTGTGCTTACACTGTCGTCTTTGTCGGCTTCCACTTTTCCGGTGCTGGTTCTTAAAGTGGATAGATGTATAAAAACACAAAAAGCATGCAGATGCCTTCTCCGCATACAAACTGGTATGTATAATAGTTGTGCATAAAGTGTTACTGGTGGATCTTACCAATGTGGCTATGGGATGAGTGTTTAAAGATCATTTTGATTCCCTGCAAGGCTGTGTAGCCAAAAATTGAGCCAGGGTGCTACAGTAAACACAGTTTTTAACAGGGGGAACACATCTTGAGAGGTGAACATATATTGATACAGCACCAGTCCTCCATGTCGCCGTCATGCCCTCTTTGTGCACATTCTGGTCGACCCCTGGCTGTTTTAAAGCACTATATAAATATACGTTGAAGCTGTTATTGCGTCAACTTAAAAAATCTTGAACAACACATTTTGCTATGTAAGCTGGAAGTGTTACCAGTGGTGCAACATACCTAGAATCTGAAAATGCCCTAAAACCCATGCACAGTACACTACAGAGTATCATTGGAAATAGTCAGCACTTAATTTTCATCAGAAATATCTAATTTTCCATTACTGAATATATTTGAGAAGGTTTTGCTTCCTGGATGAACATTTGATGATTGTTATAATAAAAAAAATTGTGAAATTAGTTTTGGTATGACTGATAAAACATTCACACCATAAGGCCCATTTATTAGCTACATTTTGTGCATCTCTCAGCCACAGTGTCCATTTCTCTGAGGACTTTAAGGATTACTCATTAGGTCAGGCTTTAGATGTACTATCCATGGTGCTGAAAGTACAAGGTTAGGTGTGTCTGACGGAATGCAGCAGGATGGCTGGCAACCTACACACTTTCACATAGATACACACAGCTCATGCAGGACATGACAGAGCCTGGTTACAGTAATAACCCTCCTGCTATCTCATGCCCATGTGTCTGCAGCACAAACTTTATATCTCACTGTTATTGTTTTAATGACACTAATGTTAGCATTAGCCAAGTGGCAAAAATGTCAGACATCAATGGCCAGAAACATCTGAGCTATACTGGGGTGAAGACAAAAGACGAGAGACCAGCCTGTGAAAATAGTCAAGTCAGCAGAGGCGTGTGTGCATGACTACATGCTTGTATGGGTGTAGGCTACATGTGGAGCCCTCAGCAACCTGAGTGTACATACTGTAACAAAGGCTGCCAGCAGTAAAACTGACTTCTCAGAGCTCCATTTCCTCCAAACCACAGTCTCATAAAACTGAGCACCCATAGTTAGCTTAATAGCATTAATGTCTATATTACTTACTGGGGGAAAACACCCTGATCCACTTTCCAACACATGACTTTGTTTTTCTGGATCAACAGCTCCACCTCTCCGCTGAGCCACAGGGAGAAGACTGAAATCCTGTCTGATGAAGCTGCAGCATCGGAAAACCAGAGACGACGTAAGCAAAGCCCCACATTCGGTCTGTTCCACTGGGGCCCGTCTGCAGCAAATCATCATGGAAGAGCTACAAACCTGTGGGCAGGAGTGAAAATACAAGTCAGCACTACACTTGACATGGACGGAGCAACAGCCTTTCACTGCCATAGCCACTTATGTTTATACATATGTGGGTAATAAAATAAGCAGATTTATGTGTGTGTAAGGATGCTGACTGGGAACGTGTGTGTGTGTGTGTGTGTACATACATGTTCAGGGTGGGGGTCTAGTAGATGCCAAGCTTTCCATAATGTTTACGGCCACAACACATTGTAATGGTTTTTGTTCTGTGCCAAGAACTGAGAACTCAAGTCCCGTCAACGGGAGGTGCACTACCGAAGTCCACCGTTTGCACTTCCAGCTTCAGCTGAGTAAATCTGAAACTGAGTAGCACTATGGACACCACACTTGTTTCTTAATTGCATAAAATAGTTTTTCAAAAACATCCTTTAAGGCACAAATTAACTGTTACTTTAAAAAAGTTGTATTCTTTTCAGACATTTCATTCAGGTTAATTACATATTATACTTTTGCAGTCAGTGCTGTACATTTCAGAAAGAATGAAACCATGCCAGAACTCCAGAACGAATCAGCTCTTCATACACCCCAGCCAAATAGTTCTCCTCAAACCCCAGATTTTTACAGACTCTCAATAACATTTGAACAATAGGCTGAAAGCCGTGTGAGGTCCCAGCATACAGCACAAATGTGTCAGCTCCAGCCATTCTCTGGCTATACGCTGGTGAACGCCCAAGTCCAGACAATAGAGGGATTGTTTGGCTTTGGGTCCAACCACTGTGCAGCTTCAGGGGAGTCCCATCACCACAATGATCAAAACAACACACACATCACACTAAAGTACAGAAATTCTCATTATTCCCATCCCATGCAGTCTGTCGACTGTGCAGGTCGCTCTGTGCTGGTCCAAACGTCTGCAGTGAGCGAGCAGCACCGGTGGGTTCTCTGTACAACGCATCAGTGTGATGAGCCGGTGGGCCACTCGGTCCGGGGTTGCAGCAAGGTAAAGGAACAGCATGACTTGACTTCACTCTTTGGCCACAGCGGTGTTGAATTCTCCAAAGATTATGGAGATAATCAGATTGCACATCACAACACTATCAGAGTCAGGGGAGCCTGTTCATCAGGTTACAGTGTGAGGTGACTGAAGTTTAACCTTCTCCACAGCGTCATCCTGAATCGAGCAATGTCAGAACACATGAAAACTGTTACAAAAGTAGTTTTTTTAATTAAAACATACGCAAACATAAATATAAAAAACACTGAATGGAAAAACTCTATCAGATGAAGATTTACAGGTATGCTACAATCTTTTAGGAGAAACAATATACCCATATTGCTTTTGGCTAGGCAAGTGCACACAGACTTGTCAACATTAAGATACATAAATATAGAATTTAAAATGGAGCCCCTGTGTTTTAATAACAAAAAGCGTGTCTACTATTTCTTTTAAGTGCTGCATAATGACTGTCATACAGACATAAAATATAAATGAATTTTACAGCCGAAAGGTCAAATTAACAATGACCTGCCTCTGTACTTCTATAGCTAATAAATAAATATTTAGTGCATATTCCCATTTACCTCACTGAAGAGCCAAATGAAAAACAAATTTAAGTTAAAAATGAACCAAACTCAACTTGGTTCCTTTAGTCAAAGAAGACAAGTGTCTATTTGTGTCACTTATGGTCAGACAGTCCAGCTATCTGCATCGCTTGTTGATTGTCATATACATGCTGTAACAAACAGATGCCATTTCTCCTTAGTTTAAAACGATATTGTCATGCAACTGCCTTCAACGAGGCAGGCCACTCATTAGATTTCATTTAATCGAGAGGAAACTGGATAATAAATGAGTTTCGGTTTTGGGTTTCTGGTTCTGTTGCTTGAGTCTTTCATGGCTTTAAGTTTCATTGGTGCCTTAGAGATTTTGCAGGTGACATAAATCAGCATCTAACTGCTTATTTCAAGTTATTCTGTTGAGTGACTTACTGTGAGGATGCCTCATTGCCTGCCTTGTTCACACTTACAGAAGCTTTCAGGAAAACATTCACTGCCATGGGTCAGACACAGACCTGGAAGTCTTATTTTTATCCTGTTCAATCAGTACAAGCAGATGCTCCATCAGCACAGTCTTACTTTATGGATGTCTCCAGCAGTAAACACTGATAAATCCTTTCTCCACGTACATCTCGCCAACAAACTCCTCAGTTGTTCCCTTGCGGTTTGTTAAATTAGTGCATAAACACATGGCTATGCATGTAAATAAATGTAATCTGAACTGAAACTGCATTGAAATTTTCCAATAGAAGCCACTGTACTATATAAAAAAAGAAAGGAAAGAAAGTCCAGTGCTATTTTGGATGAAGTTCAGAGCTGTGTGTCTCAGTTTTTTGGAAGGGGCCAAGTGGCAAGACGAGTCTTTAAAAAGGTGATGAATGTTTTCCATGACTCCTTAGTCATTTGGTGAAGGCCAATGTAAAAAAAAAAAAAAAAAAAAAAAAAAAAAACAACATTGTACAATGAAAAGACACTTTTTTTGACAAATCAACATGATAAAAATTATTAACAGTGGTTCTTTGGCATATCAAATGTTCAGTAGCATGTCTGCTCCCCACGTTTAAATTTCAGTTACCCAACTTTATGGCACCAAAATACGTCCCTTCACCCTCCAGGTCCAGCAGCCAAGCATTGGAAACGTTGACAAACAAAGCATCTCCCTCCTCTAACCGCACCCCTCGGCCCTGCTGGGCGCAGTACATGTTGTAGCTGATGCTGTTCCAGCGCATGGTGCTGCCTGTCTTCATCAGCACCGTGACTCTGCTGTTCTGTTTGATGCTCTCGTAGGAGACGTACTGGATGAGCTGGGTGTTACTAACATCCACCTGCGGCACCCCGGCCTGACTGCTGTCCTCTTGCGCACCCTTGTAGTAGCGGAAGCAGGTCTTGGCGTAGACATAGTAGAAACCGGACTCCATCACCAGCAGTTTTCCCTTCTGGTAACCCATTCTGTTATGGTGTCCGTGCACCTCATCCCAGTCAATGATGATGGTCCTTGGCTCACCCTCTGCAGAGCAACAGGAACAGCACAAAAGAGAAGTTTGTTTATCCCAGCTCTAAATTATATTTCATACACAGAGGCAATTCAAAGTGCTTTACATAGACAAAAAAACATTAAGAATAAAAGAAAAGCATAAGAAACCAGAATAAAATCAGTTAAGACAAAATAAAGATGAAACTTTAGAAAAATAAAAAAACAACAATATTACAAATAGACAAAGACAAAAATAGAACATTTACAATACAGTACAGTACAGGAATAAGCTGTAAGTTGCAACACAGGAAACAAAAGTGGAGCAGAGAAACCAATCAATCAAATGCACAGGAAAAGAGCAGAGGTTTTTTTTGATTCATATTTGAAAGTGGCAGAGTCGGGGCACATTTAAGGTCATCAGGAAGTTGGCTCCATCTGTGTGCAGCATAATAGCTGAAAGCAGCTTCACCCTGTCTGGTTCTGACCCAAGGTTCTACCAGATGACTCCTAAGGATCTCAGAGCCCTGCTGGGTTTGGACTCTTGTAGGAAGCCAGACATGTATTTTGGCCCTGTACCACTGAGTGATTTCTAACCTAGCAGTAGCACTTCAAACTCATTTCTATAGGTAACTGGTTGCCAGTATAAAAATTTAAGAACAGGAGTGATGTGCTCAGTTCTCCTGGTTCTGGTTCAACTCTGGCTACAGTATCTGAATGAGCTGAAGTTGTCTGTAGGAAGAACAGTCCAGCCTGCTAGAGATGAAATCATGAGTTTTTCTAAATCTTGTCTGGACAGGAGACCTCTGAGTCTTGCTGTTAGTTTGAGATGATAAACAGCTGATTTAACTGTGGCCTTGATATGACTGTTGAAGCTCAGGTCTAAGCTTCAAGATTTCTAACTTGAGTTTTAGTCTTTATAATTCTAGAATCAAGCTGATCAACATCTGTCCTTTCCTTCCTGCTGCCAAAAACAGTAACTTCAGTTTTGTCTTTATCTAACTGAATTAAATTTTATTGCATCCAGGTATTTACTTGCTCTAAGGAAAGACAGACCGAAACACTTGGTGACAGAGCAAAGTAAATCTGCACGTCATCTGTGAAGCTGTGATAAGCAACTTTCTGTCATGTTGTCATGTGACCCAGAGGGAGCATGTACAGGTTGAATAGCAGTGGTCCAAGACTCGTACCCTGTGGGACTATGTGTCATTATGATCTGCCCAAAGTTTTGATTACCAATGGAAACAACATAGCCCCTGCCAACTGGGGACCGTACCTGATAATCCAACTCACTTTCTGGTCTGTAGTTTTTAATTTATTGATGCATAAATAGCAAAAAGCTACAAGTGGTCTGACACTGTGCCTGAGAAGGACTGGCGCCACCGGCATCTTTATTACAAAGTTAAACCGTTTTTGACAGATTAGTGTTGTTAGTGCAGTAATAACAGAAGGTTAATCTCACTGGACTCACTCTTAGAGTACTCCTGATGTGTTTTGATTGGTAGATGAGCTGATGGCAGGCTCTCTTTTGGAGTTTTGCACCGTTTGTTTTTCCTCGGGTCTCTCAGTGCATTCAGCATTGGCTCCGTCTGCACTTCCTGTAGAAAACAGGAGAAGCTGCCTAGCATCACTAAAAAGACATCAACACTTAACCCACATTGTTTTATAGCAACAACATTTTGTGACCTAGTTTACCACAGCTTTGCTCTGCTGTCTCTTTCAATAACTGTCTGCTTGTATGAAACTGTGTGTGTCTTACTATAAGTGCATAAGTGTACATGTATGTGTGTATTGTCCACCCTCTCTCGCAGGCCTGCTAAATTCTTATGACAATGCTGGTTGTACCTGGGGCCAGAGGCAGTGACAGGGATGCCTGCTGCCTGGAAAAGTATCGGGACTGAACTCAGCCCTGAGTCCAGATTCTATTTAAGGTCATCTTCCTCAGGCAAGACAGAGCATACTGACTCAAGGAAAACATGCTTTCCAGCCAAGTAAACAGTTTCTGAACTGGAGCTGCCAGCTCTCTTACAAATCTGGCACAGGTTAAACTACCAGGCATGAGTGTTTTGTTTTCTACCTCCGGGGCCAGTGAGAGTACATCAACGTTTATTCATATTTGCAGTAGATACAAGCAAATAACAAAAAGTGAAAAAAAGCAACTGATTCAAGTGGGGTTTTATTATATCCTGAACCTGTGTTATGGTTTTCATCTGATCCAGTAATCTCCAGTAACCTAACAAACTCACCTCAACCCTAACTCTGAGACAACACCAAAAGAAAAAAAAAAAAAAGGGAAAATGGAAAGTAGACAATTTTGAAACATACCAACTTAAAGACCACACACATCACCTCTGAGCACAAACACTGCCACACACTCCAAATAAACTCAACTACAGAGTCAGTCCCTCCAACCATCAATGTGGATTTGTAACACTGCACCTGTGCTGTGCTAATATTACTGTGACGTTTTTATAAACAGCCCAAGTCCAGATAAATTTGTGTGGTTCTCAAACTAAGATTAGCACTGACTGTCCTCCAAAAACACAAAAATGTTTATTGTGCAGCGCCTTGGAATGAGACAGGGTAAACAACGTCTTGCCAAGGCTGCAAAGTAATTGTGAACGTGCTCCCAATTGCTGCTACACTGTCAGACCTATCTTGATTTGTGGTGAGGCCATGTAATACCTCTGACCAGAAAGAAGAGATTATTTAAACAAAGTGGCAGGAGCTTGGCAGCTTCCTGATCTACAGTGTGATCTAGAATTAAAATGTGGCACTGTGACAACCACTCTGCACCAGACATAAGAAAAGTCTGCCTTGGAATACACTGCACATCCAGCCACGGCTGACTTGATTGTGCTCTGTAACTACACGCCGCATACATCATTCAACATCTTATTATGTTGATGAGTGGTTTCTGAGATGTTACCTTAGAACAAAAGTCCTCTCACTCAAAGCTTGGCCACCAAAGCTGCCTGTCTCTTTGCATTTCATCCTGCATCAGTGAGATCTCTTTCTTACACAGTTGTACTCCTCTCAACAGACTATAAATATTCAGATCATGAGCTGGGTCTGATTCACAGTCCTGTGTTCTCACCGCTCCCAGTGATCGTGCCGACCACAGCCCCAGCCCGGCGTAGGCCAGGCCTGCACATTCTGCCTCACATCTGAGAGCTGCACTGCAGAGCTCATAGCTGTTCACTAAGGCCTGTTCTCTAGCAAATCCCTGTTTGACCAGTCTGCAGAATGCACCAGCAGTCTCAGGGCTGGCCTTAACAAAACACAGTGTGGGCCAAGAGGACCTGTCACCCTGACACCTCATAAAGCTCCCAGCACGTCTCCTCGCACACCATGGGAAACAGTCGAGAACTGACGAAAACAATGAGCGCCTCAGTCCAAGAGAGGCTGGGTGGCTTGTCTAAGCTCTCCACCAGGGATACCCAGGGCAAACACAAATACATAATTTCAAAGGAAATTAAAGCATTATGGGAAACCAAACACCAGTGAAGCAAATCAGCCCTTTTATTCTGTGTTACTTCCTGGACGGTTTTTGCTTTTGCTTGGCAAAACCTGTGCCAAAAAAAATAAGCTGCTCTTTCCAAAAAGGGATTAGAAAAAAATATAACTTCAACAATTATGAATTAGTTTATAACTCCCTTGTGTTACTGCTGATCATAGAAGGAACACTGTAACCACCAACGCCAGCGAGTGACTCACTAATAACTGATGCAGTAAGCTGCTTTCTGAGATTAACCAAACGTGGAAGAACTCATAACAAGAAGGTCTTTGACCCTTTCTAAGTCAGAAAGGTGCTTTTTGTGCTGTGGACTGAACTTTACCCATCCTGGGTGACTCCACGAGGTTGTGCTTTCCTTACAGAAGTGTGGTATGCACTTAAAACACACCCATGGAATACTGTATTCACTGTACTTCTCCCATGACAGTGACAGGAGGAAATACTTGGCAATAATGCCAATCAAGCCTGGTGGTTGTTAACAAAATGTTTAAGACCACAGGTATTTGAATAATGCAGGATGAAAACCTGTTAACCAACCAGGAGTTGATGATCACGCATGTTGTCGTTGCATGTCAAACCGCACAAATAATTGTCAGGTCAAAAAATGAGAATGTGCTGAAGAAAATGATACAAAACACTGGCATGTTAAACATACCATGGTGTCATACAGAAAGGTAAACTCAAAACTATTAAAAAAAATCTGCCAAAATAACTATAAATATTCCAGGACTCCTAAGTTTTAAAAACAAACTGTGGTCCACTCAGGAGATGTGTTGTGCAGCTGTGCTGCCTGGGGCCGACCAGGGTTCAAACTCACCTCTACGGGCCGTTGTGGGACTGCAGACAAATCCACCTAGAGACAGAAACATGAGCTGAGGTTAGAGAGGTCCGTGTAAAAAAGAGATATGCCATCTCCAATGCCCCCGTGACAGGTGTGTGTGGGAGGAATATTTTACAAAATTTACAGGAAGACAAGCAGCAATTCAGTTTGGATGTTTATGCGTTTTCGAAAGAGTGGGAGGTGAAGTTTTTTTTTTTTCCCCCCACAAGGCACTCTGTATTCCACCGCAGCAGGCAGAAGTGATTTGGAGACTGATTTACACTTGTTGTTTCTAACTTAAAATGGCCACAAGGTTTCCATGCATATAGCCAGCCTGATGCACAAAGACACACAACAAGAAAATACATTTCAGCCCTCATGTTCAAATCAGAGCAACATTTTTAAACCTGCTCTGCTCAGCACAGTCCTATGTAGGCACAGCGCTGTGCAGATTGCAGCTCTCCTCTCCATCTCCGGGTAGTTCTACAGGCGTTGAGGGAAGATGACGGGATCCAGTGCCCACACAACGACTGACTCACACTGAAAATGCTACCATGTGCAGCTGTTGTCAAATTCGCAAAAAGGCTCCAACTTGGACCAACCACAGGGCCTCTCACACTGCTGTGTATTCGAGGAACGCTTCAGTCACTCCCAAAAGATCTGGACCCACGTCCCTGTGGCCACATAATCAGATCAACCCCACATACATGTTATTCACAAATATGACAACAAACATAAAATTAAACACCGTCTCTCTGATCTTCTTTCTGGTTTCAACCCCTTCCCCTCCCTCCCTGTCATTTTCTTTTCCTCTGGTTCACATCCAGTATATAACTAGCTGCTACCACACTGCAATGTGTTTATGCCAAAGTCAAGCCAAAGAAATTTAACACGCAAACACAGAGGCAGAGAGAAAAGGAGAGAACATGAGAGGCTGATGCTCCCCAGGTGACCTCAGAAGCATCCTGACAGAGCAGACCGCATCTCTGCACTGTCTGCTTGTTCAAACATGACAATTATTCAACTCCACAACCACTATAGAGAAGTGAAAAGAACTGTGGCAGAATGTAAATGTTATTTTACAAGATCACAGATATGCAAAGATCATCTGACAAAAAAAAAAAAGAAAGAACATGAACCGTGTATTTTGATGGTGTCCCTGATTTAGCGCTGTCAGACCAGCGCTAACTAGAACATCCAGTCTTCCTTGAACTTCCTCGTCGGATAGTTCTGCCTCCAAAACGCCATGAAAACAGCTCTGCTTATTTTCAAATGTTTACAGCTTATGACACATATAAATTACAAATACAGCCCGTAGATGACATGTAAACACACGCATGAAGAAGTGCAGCGTCGGAGCCTCAAGTTAAAACATCTGTACTTTGCGAAGCCCCGACCGGGATGCTGAGATGTTATCACGTCAAAACGGATTCACGGTGCTTTGAACCCCCGTGAAATAACTCGTCTCCGTGGAACATTCTGAGCAGGGCTTCATGAGATGCTATCAGTCGGGGTGTTTTTGTAGCGAGGGAAAATGCTGTAACTGCCTGCCACAGAGGCGCAGCGTCTTCAAAGTGCACGACATTAGGCGCACAAAAGTATAGAAGAGACTCGATGTTGAGGCTTTTTTACTTCTTCTTTTACTGCTGCAGATTACACCTACTTTACTTCTAAGAGCACACACCGCCAACCTTTATGCAACTGGGGGACTATTCTTGCACCTTATGGTATTATAAAGTTGCGCAAACACTGCCGGACTATCTTAACTCGCTTGTAACCGAGGACGGAACTGTTGACAATACCTGTAGACAAATATTTACACGCTGAGCCAACGCTAGTGTAAACCTACATACACGCTGACGGCAATGAATGACTTTGCCAAGTGTCTTATTGTACACTAGGGGAAAAACCGCCTAAATCACACCGTGTCCTGCTGAGCCTACCTGTTGCAGATAACCTGTCAGGTGTAATAAGATCGCCACACTGGAAGCCACCTGAAGCAATCCCATAACAGCGAGAGTCCCGAACAGGAGCGGGCGGTAAGTGGGCTCCGAGCTCTGCACCGGGTGGAAGCGGTGCTGCCCGTCCTCGATGTCGACGGTGTTCCGCAGGTAACCTCTGTACTCGCTGTGTGTAGCTGCCATGATGCGTGCTGGGGATGATCTGTGTGTACTATAGCGCCGCGGGTCCAGTTCCAAAACTCAATGCGCGGAGTAAACTAAAATGCAAGTCCCTATAATCGCTTCCAGTGGGTGGGCTCAGAGAACTGGTCTCCCTGTGCAGCCAATGAGAGGGATCCTCTGATACTAGTGTAACCTGGGTTAACTGAGCCCTGGTTGAATAAAGGCCTGTTAGTAAAAGTGGCTTTGAATACAAACGAGAAGGTCAGTGGATCAATGTGCATTAAAAAAAACACTACAATGTTATTTATTATTTCATGGTGTTATATTTTATTTGGGTTAAAAAAACATGTTAAAAAGTGTAAATTCATTGGGTTCTATTGTAATTTATATTTTGAAATAAATTATGTCATCTAGACTTATTTTGAAAAGGCACGAGCCATGTGACTAGTAACAGCCAACCATATCGTGTGACCTCTGGTTCAAGAAAAGGCAGATTACAGAGACAGGTGTTATAGAAGCTGTCTAAACGCTGTTTTTCATATCCTGAAAAATAAGTCTTTTTGGTTTTCCAACCTGTTGCTGTTACAGAGGTTTTTTTTTTTTTTTTTACATTGCTGAACAGGACTTGGTGAGTGACGAAGATGTATTTTATTTCTCATACAAGTAATATTATTGCAATATGTTATTCTTTTCATGGAAATAGAAAGCTAAGGTAGTGAATTTACGTTCTATGTTAAAATTGTGAATATTATGGTGCATTTTGAGGCTAATTGAGGTACTTGCAAAAATCACTGTCCTAACATGTTTTCCGCCGCCATTATGGTGATGTCGCCATCTTAACGAGCACCAATTAAGAAAAGAATGGTCTTTTATTTAAGTTTTAAGCTACCTAGAGTTTTATTTTAAGCATTTATGTATGTTTTATGTTGTTTATGGTAGGCCTTAAGATTGGGTCGAATGGTTGTGAGCTGGAGCGAGAGTTAACGACATTTGTGTGGAACGAGATGGCGAGCCTCCCATGGCGGAACTGTGCATATGCCGGACTTGGTGAGTGACGAAGATGTATTTTTTTTCTCATACAAGTAATATTATTGCAATCTGCTCTTCTTTTCATGGTTATTCTTTTCATGGAAATAGAAAGCTAAGGTAGTGAATTTACGTTCTATGTTAAAATTGTGAATATTATGGTGCATTTTGAGGCTAATTGAGGTACTTGCAAAAATCACTGTCCTAACATGTTTTCCGCCGCCATTATGGTGATGTCGCCATCTTAACGAGCACCAATTAAGAAAAGAATGGTCTTTTATTTAAGTTTTAAGCTACCTAGAGTTTTATTTTAAGCATTTATGTATGTTTTGTGTTGTTTATGGTAGGCCTTAAGATTGGGTCGAATGGTTGTGAGCTGGAGCCAGAGTTTAATGACACATGTGGAACGAGATGGCGAGCCTTCCACGGCGGATCTTATGAACTGTGCATATGCCAGAAGTTAAACGGTCTCTGCTAGACTGGATCTGGATCTCATCCAATCTGGTAGGATTTACCCACTTTTTTCTGCAGAACAGCAGTGGACTCCAGATAGATCCAGAATTTGCTCATTCGGACCGATCTAAGGACTAAGAAACAACAAAAGGACAATTTAAAACTGTGGTGCACAGTTTTGTTCAGCCTTTTGCTGGATTATTTTGGGTTTATGCATTCTACTTCTAGCAAGTCCTGAGTTGAACCCTAAAATTTACTTTTGACCCAGACCCTAAAATAGGCCAGGTCCGGAAAAATGCAGAGTTTAATGACACATGTGGAACGAGATGGCGAGCCTTCCACGGCGGATCTTATGAACTGTGCATATGCCAGAAGTTAAACGGTCTCTGCTAGACTGGATCTGGATCTCATCCAATCTGGTAGGATTTACCCACTTTTTTCTGCAGAACAGCAGTGGACTCCAGATAGATCCAGAATTTGCTCATTCGGACCGATCTAAGGACTAAGAAACAACAAAAGGACAATTTAAAACTGTGGTGCACAGTTTTGTTCAGCCTTTTGCTGAATTATTTTGGGTTTATACATTTTGTACAATTTTTATTTTTTTATTTTTATTTTGTTACTGTGTGTAAATGTCTGTGCAGTTTTAAAGCTGTAAATACAATCCGGCAAATTCAAATGTATTTTTACTGGTCGGTGGTGCTGCCCTACGCACAAGTCCACATGGAACCCCTTACAAAATCAGAACCTTGTCAACTGAGTATATGGCAACAGTTACTAAAAACGCCACCTACAGTTTCTTTAATGAACTACCGAAAATGGCTAAATTGACTGTTCAGTCATTTGAAGCAATTTTGAACGAACACCTCTCTAAATCCAGTCAGTCAACCAGTGAGACAGAACAAACTGAAAGTCCAGCTTCCATCAAGGAAATCAGTCACATTTGTCCCCTCAGTCACTAACGGGACCCAAGCTCCTCAAGGTGAACCTGAGGAAGTTATCAATACTAACTTAAGTCGCAATGAAGCTGAACCAGTCAAGCCCACACAACTCACTCGAGCAATTAACTTCCCTTAAAGCGTCATAGCACCCCCAGAGGTGCAGAAAGTCGTGGTTGAGCACATTGTACGAACTGAAATTCCTGTCTCCTCAGCGAGTGCATCCTTCCGCCTTAGACAGTTCTCAGGCAAAGTACCTTGTCCCAGTCATGAGGTTGACTTTGATACCTGGCGCAATAGTGTTGATCTTGTACTCCAAGACCCAGAGTTGTCAGACTTGCAGCGCTCACGGAAGATTTTAGACAGTCTTGTGCAACCTGCAGCAAACATAGTCAAACCCTTAGGCCCTAAAGCATTGCCGTCTGCTTACATTGAACTGCTCACGTCAGCATTTGGCACAGTAGAGGATGGCGATAGGCTCTTTGCTAAGTTCCTTAACACACTGTAAGATCCAGGTGAAAAGCCATCACAGTTTCTCCATAGGTTACAAACAGCTCTGTCTAAAGCTCAGAATAGAGGTGGTGTTTTAGCCAGTGAGGCAGACTGACACCTGCTGCGTCAGTTTTGTCGCGGATGTTGGGATAGAGCCTTGTTAGCAGACCTGCAGCTTGAAAGGAAAAAAGATAACTCACCCCCGTTTGCAGAGCTACTCTTACAGTTAAGGGTAGAAGAAGACAAATGTTTAGCCAAAGAGAACAGAATGAAGAAACACTTTGCTGCAGCCAGACCTAAAGTAGCTTCACACATTATTGCTGCCACCACTGAACTTCCTGAACGCACAGTGCACAATGACCTCGCTGAATTACAAGCACAAATAACGGAGCTGCAAAGTCTACTTGTAAAAATGAAGGCACAAAAAGCAGATCAACCCACAACTCCCTTGAACAACCTGGTCAAAGAGCTAAGAGCACAAATCACAGAGCTCCAGAGCCATTTGGCTAGAGTCAAACCACCAAGTTCTCCTCCGAAGAAAGTGGATAAACCAAAAACCAGTTCTAACAGCAAGCCTAAACAAAATATCTGAACAATCGACAACCCCGACTGCAAACCGTAGACCAAAGCCATGGTACTGTTTCTAGTGCGGTGAAAACGGTCACATTGTGTCTTCATGCCCCAATAAACCAAATGCATCCTTGGTTGCTGAGAAGAGACAACAGTTGAAAGAAAAACAGTCAATACCCATATTGACAAACAAAACAGCCAAAATCAGCCGTTAAACTAAAACCAGCCCTCATTGCGGGACAAATGGGTGCTTCTAATGAAACAAGTCCCAAATCCGAGCATCTAAGCGAAGCCAAAAACTGCTTTCTACCCAACAAATATGCAACACCAAAACTGCCAAAAGGCTTCATCGAAGCAAAGTACACTGCTCGAGTTCAAATCAACGGGCAAAAGTACCATTGTCTTCTTGATACAGGATCTCAAGTGACCACAGTGTCCCAGTCCTGCTATGAAAACAATTTCTCAGACCGCCGGATACCCGCCGCTGAGGAAAAGCCAAAGTTCTAAGCCAAACCGTGACCACTACTTTCAGCCAAAAGCCCTTTTTGGGGAGAGATGGGATGAGAGTTGCCAACAAGCCTTCGAAACAACCATAGACAAACTCACCACAGCTCCTGTGTTAGGGTTTGCCAACACCAAGCTTCCCTACATGCTCCACACAGATGCTAGTACAACAGGGCTAGGGGCAGCCCTGTATCAAGAGCAGGGGGGAGAGATGTGCGTAATTGCGTACACAAGTAGAGGTCTGTCTAAAAGTGAATCACGTTACCCTGCTCACAAGCTTGAGTTTTTAGCTCTCAAGTGGGCTGTAACAGAAAAGTTTTGTGACTATTTGTATGGCAGTCCCTTTACAGTTATAACAGTCAGTAATCGTCTGACATATATCTTCACCACAGCTAAGTTGAACGCCACAGGTTATCGCTGGTTGTCCACCCTGTCTTCCTTCAAGCAGGCAAACAAAATATGGACACAGACGGGTTGTCCCGCCGTCCCCATCCTGAGCCAGTAAATGACCTAGTCTCCCTGAAAGAACAAGAACGTATCTGCCAGTTTGTCAAACGCCACTTACCTGGTACGGACCCTTTCACTCATGTCCCTCCAAATGATGTCAGTGCTATCTGTGAAAAACACCTAGTCTTTCAGTCTCTTGACACAGATAACAGTGCTCCTACCTGCCCCCTAGTAACATCTTTGTCCATGTCTGCCCAAGCTATTCCTGACAGTTACGATCAGTGTAACGGTCTCCCAGTCATCCCAAGTATTTCGGAGGAAGAGTTAAGACAAAGCCAGAGAGATGACCCTGCAATAAATGAGGTAATCCATCAGCTCGAAACAGGGGAATCATCTCCCATCCAAAGTTGGGCCACAGGGTTCGCATTTGTCAAAGTTCACTTTTCGGCCACCAGATGGAGCAGTTTTCAGACATTTGGGGGGACCTTTTTGACAGACAGGAGGGAATGTTCCTGACATGTGACATTTGGCCCCCGAATTTTAACAGGTTCCACCGACTGATGTCACTATCCTTGCCCAACCTTTCCTGGGAAAGCTGTCTGACATTTAGGCCATTCTAGTAGTTTCGAATTCTCACAGGAACAAAACAGCGGACTGCTTGTGTAAAAGTGGTTAAAAAAAGCTTACCTAGCTTAGCAGTGCCATAAAACGTTGAAGGGTGCTTTAAAGGTATGGAAAAGTGCATTAAGAGTGTTCTAAATAGCAAACACACACTCCAGGAAGTGAGAGATAAAAAATGCATTTTTTGACTTAAAATGGATCAGGGTGACCAAATGACCAAGAGATTGTTTTCAATTGCAAACCAAACTTTTTTTATTAAATGTGTGAACAAAGAAACACTAAATAACACTTTCAACAATAAACCAATTTTTCACAGCTCTTATTATGAACAAATAACCCGAAAAATAAATAACAAACTACTACTTTATTTAAAACTACTTTTTTGGGTGAATATTTGGTTGATTTATTAGCTGCCCGTGCGGCAGCTCTTAACGCCCTTCTGGAGACCTTAAAGCTTGACTCTATTGGGCTCAGGTGCACCATCAGGTTATGATACAGCTCCCTCTGGGTCTTGACTGGTGTCTGTGGAGTAAAAGAATAAAGGTGAATCTCGGTCATACTTACACGGATGATGTAGCCCGTGGGAGGCCGGCCCTCAGTGGCCGCTCCCCTGACCTCCGCCACTGTCATATTTCTGAAGACCCCCGTGCGGTCCCCGTAAATTGACGCGATGAATGCGCTTAAGTACCCGTAGAAGGCGTTCCTCAGCTGCACCGTATAGTCCTCCTGGAGTTCCTCTGAGGGGGACAGGGCAGAAAGGGTTAAGCGAGTGAAGAATGTGGTGGAGAAAGCATGTGGCGGCATGTGTTCAGGGTGAGGTGAACAAATCTTACTCAGCAGCTTAGGAATCTTCCTCCGTGCACCAAGCTGCCACCGTCTGAGTGACTCCTGGGACACCACTTTTGACAGCTTTTTTGTCCTTAGTTGTCAGCTGGTGGGCCAACATTCTTTTTGAAATGCCTCTTATGGCCCGTCTCACTGCCCTGATCACACCTGTGATCTGGCTTTGTGACAGTCTGGCCAGCCTACGTTGGGGGGGGGGGGTCTCCTTGAAATACTTGAGGAATTGTTGGACATCCCTCAGATAGAAGTTGGTGGTGGTTACGCTTTTTCCCGATGCGCACAGGATGTTGGGCCATCTGCGGGGGAACACATACAGTCATAGGTTGATGCATACATGTCAAACCGAGAAAGAAGCAAGCGAGACCGCACTTACTGGATGATCTGCTCTGTCTTGTCTAAAAAGCGCCAGGTAGCCAGGGAGGAGACCTTTCCGGCCATGAAGGCCAAAAAGGACTTTATGCGGCTTATCTTGGAGAAGGCGTTCTCCGAGTGTTTTTCGGACGGACAGCTGCCCTCGTGGAAGGCCTGGTACTCTTTTAAGTAATTTTCTGTTAAAAAAAAAAAAAATCACAATAAACATTTCATTCAATAAAACAAACGTGCAGAGATGAAAATGACATGGATCAAAAACACATTTACTTAATACCAACTGCCAAAATGTAGTAATACCCACCCATCGACTCTGGGAACTTTATATGGCGAGTGAAGGTCCCTTTGCCCGTCCCCGCAAAGAGCCTTTTTGCCACTTTCCTCAGGCCTTCCTCCTCCACGCCTTCCGCACTGCCAGGTACTTTTGGCGCTGGCTCTGGCACTGGTGCAGGCAGAGGGGCTGGCCCTGGCACAGGGTCAGGGTCAGGCACATACGATGTGCCTGGCTGCTCGTCAGGCACATACGATGTGCCTGGCTGCTCGTCAGGCACATACGATGTGCCTGGCTGCTCGTCAGGCACATACGATGTGCCTGGCTGCTCGTCAGGCACATACGATGTGCCTGGCTGCTCGTCAGGCACATACGATGTGCCTGGCTGCTCGTCAGGCACATACGATGTGCCTGGCTGCTCGTCAGGCACATACGATGTGCCTGGCTGCTCGTCAGGCACATACGATGTGCCTGGCTGCTCGTCAGGCACATACGATGTGCCTGGCTGCTCGTCAGGCACATACGATGTGCCTGGCTGCTCGTCAGGCACATACGATGTGCCTGGCTGCTCGTCAGGCACATACGATGTGCCTGGCTGCTCGTCAGGCACATACGATGTGCCTGGCTGCTCGTCAGGCACATACGATGTGCCTGGCTGCTCGTCAGGCACATACGATGTGCCTGGCTGCTCGTCAGGCACATACGATGTGCCTGGCTGCTCGTCAGGCACATACGATGTGCCTGGCTGCTCGTCAGGCACATACGATGTGCCTGGCTGCTCGTCAGGCACATACGATGTGCCTGGCTGCTCGTCAGGCACATACGATGTGCCTGGCTGCTCGTCAGGCACATACGATGTGCCTGGCTGCTCGTCAGGCACATACGATGTGCCTGGCTGCTCGTCAGGCACATACGATGTGCCTGGCTGCTCGTCAGGCACATACGATGTGCCTGGCTGCTCGTCAGGCACATACGATGTGCCTGGCTGCTCGTCAGGCACATACGATGTGCCTGGCTGCTCGTCAGGCACATACGATGTGCCTGGCTGCTCGTCAGGCACATACGATGTGCCTGGCTGCTCGTCAGGCACATACGATGTGCCTGGCTGCTCGTCAGGCACATACGATGTGCCTGGCTGCTCGTCAGGCACATACGATGTGCCTGGCTGCTCGTCAGGCACATACGATGTGCCTGGCTGCTCGTCAGGCACATACGATGTGCCTGGCTGCTCGTCAGGCACATACGATGTGCCTGGCTGCTCGTCAGGCACATACGATGTGCCTGGCTGCTCGTCAGGCACATACTGAGTGAGAAAGTGGGAGGGAGGGAGGGAGGGATGTGTATAGACTGAGTGTCTCTGAGTGAGAGGGGAGGGGGGCCGCTGGTGGAAAATTCCACTGCAGGGTAGATCTGGCTTTAAGTGCTGTAAAGCATCCACTATGCTCTCCACTGCAGGGCACGATCTGCATTTCTGCTGATTACACCCTTTAAGTTTCTGCATTCCATCCTGCTGCTCTAAATGTACAAATTCAGCTTAAAAATAGGACCACAACACGTTTATAAACTGTATCTCATTAGGAAATGCATCTCAATTCAGATTTTCATCATTAAAAATGCAAGCAAAGCACAGTCAGTCAATTAAGTTTTGGCACTGAGGAGCGGATGAAATTAAGTTGCAAAAAGGTCAAACCATCATCATTTCTGTGTCATTTCTTTTAAGAAAAACTAGTTTCAAATAAAACATCTGTGTTTAGCACGCGTTTAGCAAGTTAAACACCGTCCTTCGACCGACCTCGTGTCGGACGGGGTTTTTAATCTTTAAAGGGCAGAATTAAGCACACAACACGAACATTTATCAGAAAACTTCATAAAAACAATAAGTTCACTTATTGCTCCCAGTGATTTTCCAAATATTCTTCGGTTTTATGAAAAAAAAAACTCTCTGCAGTTCTTCGACGTCCGTCCTCCAGATCAGATTTCTTTGTCTGTCTCCAGTCTTTGTCTCCAAAGGTGACAACAGCAAGCATGCGCAGTGAGAGTGAACAACGGAGGTGCGAATCTGTGGGGGTTGGGTGGGCTTGCTTTCTTAAACAAAGCTGCTTTTAAGGACAGTGCAGCTCTGGCACCATATAGATTTATTTATTTATTTATACATTAAAGGGGTTTGCTATTTTACATTCTGTGACAATTCGAAACCAGTAACATGTCAGGGACAAAAGCAGCGGATTTTCCTTAACCCAGTGTGCTGGAGAGACAGCCGAATGGTTAAAGTGCTGCGTTTGGATGCGGACCCCATGGGTTCGCGTCTCACTCTTGGCGAAATTTATTTATTCTTTATTTTATCACCTCTGTTAATGTGTATCGCTCTGTCACCACAGACATTTATTTATTTACTCATTTTTTGACAATTCGAAACCCTTAACCATTGCAGCCTCGGTGTGCCAAATGTCACGCTTTCTTGAAGTGTGTGTTTGATATTTAGAAACGTTTTAATGCACTTTCCCAACAAGTTAAAGCGCCCCTTCAGCGTTTTATTGCAGATATAATCTTAACTAAGCATTTAAAGCCACGGGCAAATCAGCTGCTTTGGTCACGTGACTTTTGGCAGCTGTGGAATTGTCAAATAACGCCGTCATGACTTTCTGGTATGAGTTTTGGCTATTTCCAGCCGTTTTTTGAGGGGGTTAAGGCACTTTTTC